CACGTTCTGTCCGAGGACCTTGTACTTCGGCACAACGTCGCACTGGGCCACTGGGACAAGGCGACGCGGCACAAAGTGCCACTTCTTAAAGTCCTGGCACTCCTGGTTGTCCGTGTAACCGTCACCAGCGGAACCCTTGACGTAACCATACGAGTTGGCCGACAGGATTTGACGGGCCTTTTCTTCCCATTGGCTGAAACGGAAGCCAAAGGTGGTGAACTCGTTGTTGCAACCGTTTTCGAATGTTTCGGCAATCAGCTTAGCTGGCTCCATGTTGTGTGAAGATAGAGAAGCGGTACTTGAACCGAGCGCATTTTAAATCTACGCCCCCTGTCACATGGCAAGAGCCGAATTCCCGCATCGTTCCGGGACGGACCAATGAGCCTGAATAGGTTCCTATTGGCTGATGAAGTAAACGTAGCGATGAGCGCTGCCCAATCACAATGGATTCACGTGCGAGAAACGGATCTGTCGAAAGAGACGCGAGGGCGGCGATTTCCACATGGAGCGCTATCATTGCATGCATAGATTGGCGCCCTGCCGCACAGTAGAAGGGACATAAAAACACGCACACATGCACTGCCTCTATGAACCAAGATGGCTGTTCGGTGGAAACCAGGACCGATAGAATACCTTTGTCCTCGTAATTATGTCTGTGTGAGTCTTTCGAGCTTGTGTCAGATCATCCTATGACATGTTGTGAGATGCCTTTCGGCACGAGAGAATATTCTCATGACAAGGCGTCACAACAAGTAGTATTGTAGGTATGATGTCTTTGTCCAGTTGTTAACAATTTGATGGCATACGGTCTTTTGCAGCGTGCGCGTGTTACATTCGATGTCTCTGGTTAGCTTTTCTCTAACTACTTTTTGCATGAAGGTATCTCAGCACGCGATCTTATTTAACAAGAACACGCCAGAAATCTTGTGTCAATTCTAAGCCATCATTTATATGATGTTTGAATCATGGTGCAATCCTAAATCTTTTGCATACGTGGCTTTGCAGGACACCTCATTTAATAGCCCAATTGCTGGCAACCAATAAAATTTACACGGTCTTTCATGGAACTGCGTGCAGCATACGCTAAGAAACAAATTTCATAGCTGCTCACGTGTCATTGCCTTGCAGTGCGTCTAAATGGACCTTTTGCCTAAATTTTTTAGAAAGTTGACTGCACATTGTATCCATATACTCCCACATTAGGGAAGAATAAGTCAGGGATATTGCCATTATAATACATGTGTCTGATTCTAGTACCGTGAAGCGTTCGATACATCTGAAACATGTCATTCAAACGTTTAACTCTTAAATAAGGGCATGGATTAGGCGCGCGAATTCAAAAGATATGTATAAAGAACAGTTACTTCAAAGAAACTTGTTTAAGGAGACGTAATTTCGATGCAACAAACTGGTCTAAGGAAAAAATCGTAAGTCAGTGAATTTTTATTTATTGTGTGCTTGGATTTCGTGCGGCAGGCATTTGTGACTCGGATGCCTGCCAGGTCCCACGTAGCCCAGGTGGGCTTCATTTTTTGGGTAATTGAGCTCTTTCCCCATTGGCCGTTATAATTGGCTCATCAAACCTTATTTGGCTTAACCTTGTGCTATCTTACAGTAGTGATATGACCGAGCACGCAATCAGCCCACGTGGGCTTTTGTGTGACTGAGTTCTTCACCATCGGTCGTTATAATTGGCTCAAGATAAGACCTTATTTGGCTCAACCTTTTGCTATCTCACGGTAGTGATGTGACCGAGCACGCAATTTGGTAAAGACTTATTACGGCGGCGGTACCGGCGGTCAATGTTCTTCTCCCTCAAGTTTGTTGGATAACATATGGAAAAAGATTCAGAAAAGCGCACTGATATTGAATCGCTCGAGTCCTCGTGCAGACAATCTATATCTTTTCATCAACGCCTAGAGACCAAATTGTATACATTTTTTTTACCATTACTCCAATTTGAAGCATGGCTCAACTCAAAGTTAGGAATTGAGGCAGAGGCCATTGAAAGGAAGCGCGGGGAAGATCGTAAACCTGTCAAGTGGTATGATGAGCTCGGCATGGCTTTCCTTTGGGCCTCTGGTAATTTGAATTTACCTTGTTGTGCTACTGGTATGCTTGGAGCGGAATTCGGACTCAGTCTCAGACAGAGTCTAGTTATCATTTTTTTTGGCAACTTAATTGGAAGTTTTGTGACTTCATACTGCGCTACATTTGGCGCACCAACTGGTCTTCGACAAATGTCCGTCTCTCGTTACAGCTTCGGCTGGTTTCCAAGCAAACTTATCGCCCTTGTGAACACCGTGCAGCAGATTGGCTGGTCTTCTGTTGGTGCAATCACTGCAGGCCTTGCTCTAACGGCTGTGGCTGATGGGCATATATCTATTGTTGTTGGAATTATTATCGTTGCTGTCGCTGCACTTGTTATTGGCATATTTGGTCTTCGCCTGATTTTGCTTGTCGAAAAGTACTCTTGGTGTGTATTTTTCATTGTATTTCTCATTATTCTAGGCGAGACGGGCAAATATGCCGACAATCATTCGCCGGCATCAGTTAAAGGAACCACACCTTTGGCAGGATCAGTGCTCACATTTCTCGCTGTCATATACGGTTACAGTGCGTCATGGTCTCCAATTGCATCCGATTACTATGTGCAATATCCTGCGAATGTATCAAGAACAAAAGTATTTCTTTTAACTGCTAGTGGAATTTCATTGTCTACATGTGTCTGCATGTGGTCTGGAGCAATAATGGCCAGCTCTCTAAACAACCATCCTCTTTGGAAACAGGCTTATGAAAACGACGGAATTGGGTATCTCATTCGTGACATGCTTTACCCTACTGGCTTTGCAAAATTTCTTTTGGTTCTTCTTGTTTTATCGGGAATCTGCTTTAACCTTCTCAGTACATACAGTGTATCGCTTACTATTCAACAATTTTCGCCTTGGGTCGCATTTGTTCCTCGTATCGTTGTACAGGTTATCGTCTTCGGAATTGTTATTGCTCTAGGTCTCGCTGGACGGAAAGAGCTTAATACATACCTTCAAAACTTCCTCAGTTTTCTTGGGTACTGGAGTACAAGCTACTTTGTCATCCTTTTTCTTGAGCACACATTTATTCGAAAACGGGATTTTGCGAACTACGATTTGGAGGGATGGAATGATCGCAAGCGTCTTCCGCATGGGATTGCTGCAGCTACAGTGTTCTTGGTGGGAGTTGTGTGTTGGGTCATGGGAATGGCTGTTACTTGGTATGTCGGACCCCTTGCTGGCCTCTTTGGTGAGAATGGTGGCGATGTTGCCATTGAATTGACATTTGTTTTCACTTTGGTCGCATATTTGCCTTTAAGATTGCTTGAGATTAATTTTTTTCACAAATGATAGACGACTTTTGGGTTACAGCTGATCGTAATCCTGTGATTTCGTCATATAATATTAACGATTCATGATTCGCAAGAGACCAAAGCAGTTGACATGCTTTAACAGCCCATGCTTTCGTTAAGTCTCGAATGCGGATAAATACCGCGTACTTTCGTATATCGACTTTGGCCCGTCACACGATATTGTCCAAGTGGAGCAGAATACTTTTATCATATCACAGGCACCGATTAGGCTGCTAATCAAAACATTTGCCCTTGTGATTTGAATCAAGCGGTTTGAATATTTTTCTCTTCATCTAGAATGCCAGAAAGAGTGTAGTTGTTGCTCAGATTCAAGTTGTCTGACTTGTCACTTATGTATTAAGTATGTTCGAGCACAACTATACGCTTGACTGATATCGATATTTCGACTCAACTTCATAGCGTATTCTAGATCGTGGAACTATTAATGCAAAATAATAGCTTTCATGTAATATGTCGTCTTCACCTTCTATTGAATGAATCACAAGTTATACTTGCACACTTTGCTAAAGATTTTACTATTCTGTGATCGATATTTTGGGTAGTCTCGATTCGTTCTAACAAAATAAAGCAAGAGGCTTCCCCTTGTTTCCACATAAAGAATTTGGAATTCATTTTGTTCAATATCAAAATTAGTTTTTGCTCAAACGCAGTAAAGACTTAGAACTACACTGTTGGAATGAAATTTTTTATCAATGTACTCAATACAATCAAGCCAAGGAAGCACCAGTCTTTTCTCCAGGCTTTTGGTTTGCGTCCGAGTCTTCTTCCATTTCGCCTTTCGCACGGAGACGCTCCTCTTTCCTTCGTTTGAGAATTTCCAAAGAGAAGGGAGAGCGCTCACGTATCTGTGGTCCCTTCCAATAAAAGACGTAGATAGGAATGATAACCACAATAGAAACAAATCCAAGAAACGTACTTGCCCATTGATAAGACAGACTGGGCGAAATCTTTTCATACATTGGCACAGCATACATGGCTGAAATACCTGCGAGTAAATCACGAGCCAACGCATTACCACCGGTAGCGGAAGCAGAGTATTCTCCGTATGCTTCAACCATATAGTCAATGGTGGCCATGTAAATGGCGTAATTAGCAATAGCGATAAGGACAGCGAATATTAATGGCGCAATCCAGTGAACTTGTGGCTCACCGTAAGAACACCATGCAAACCCGAACAAACCAATGGGTTCCAGTGGTGCAAGCCAAAGAAGCCACCATAAACGCACTTCTGGGTAAAGGCAATCAGGGTCTATTCTGCGTGCACGTCTTTGACTCATAATAGTCGGGAAGAAGGAAAAGAATGCAATGATATATCCAACATTGATTGAAATAAATGCCAGCCCGACAGCCCAAGGCTTGAAGCCCCAACCGTCTTTGAACACATAATCAAACGACATTTCAAACGTGAAGATGAGTGCATCAGAAAATCCACTGAGCAAAGAGAGAAACAATACAATAGGTTCAGTTGCAATCATATGGAAGGGACGGAACCAAAGCTTTGCAACTTCTTTAGCACTAAACCGATTCTCTTTCAGCTCATTTGGACCGTAAATGTTCTCATCACCGGGTTGTGGAGTACGTTCCGGCCTCGAAGAAAACCAATCATACACAGGATGGAGTGAAAGCCAAAATTCTTCGAAACTTTGAAAACTGATCCCGCGCTTTTTGTTCTGACTCAAAGTGCCGTTCAGTTGCTCTTGCCTGGCCTTTCGTCTCCGCCTAGCTTCACGATCAATCAGGATAAATGAAAGCGTCTCTGGGACAGTCAGCGCATGCACGAGCTGAGTAAAACCACCGAAGATCAGCATCAACCAAATAATCCAATTGAGGCAATGAACAGGATCGCTCATAAAGCCTTGCATCAATCCACCAATGACCGGTCCAATTGATGTACCGATCACTGACGACAGAACAATAAATGCAATAGCATATTGATGGTCGTCCGAATCATAAAGATCCGCTACCATACCTAGCGTGACACTTCCCCCCGCCGTGCACAACCCACCGAAGAAACGAGCAGCAAGAAGGGAATCATAATTTTGCGAAAATCGACACCAAATTTGTGTAATATTGACCAGAAACAGGGAAAGTTGCATGACGGGCCACCGTCCAAGTTCTTCACTCCATGGAGCCCAGAGTTCTGAGCCAAACGCGTACGCAATCAGGAAGATCATCTGACTTGCGCGTGCACCCTGTGGACTAACGCCTCCGAACCTGTCTTTATCCTCAGGAATGAGTGCAGTCGCATTCGGATAAATGGACGTATTGAAGTTCATACTGACTTGGACAAGAAACACAACACACAGGATATACCATTTCTTCCATGCTGGAAACGCAAATCCTGTAACTTCGTGGGCCATTTCATGTGTTAGCTCAACTTTTCCATCAGGTCGGGCAGGTATACGATGTGCTTTTTCCTTAAAACGATCATTATACTTCTTAATAGCTTCTTCACCACTTGCAACAACCTCAAAGTGGCCGTCTTCATCTTCATGTAAAACGACGTTTGGCGTGTTTGGGCGATCTGGTTCCTCTACAGGAGGTTCTGCCGTCCGATTATAAGAATTCGTGTCAAAAGTGGCTGCTGACGCCTGCTCACGAGGCGGCTCAAACTCTTTCTCAGCATTCTCGACTGGCATCCCACAAGGTAGGATGAGGGTGGTAAACAAGGGCGGATCACCATCACAATCCGCACCCATAGGGCCTCGTCATTTCTAATTAACCAATAAAACAGCAGTGCCCCTATTTGACATCAGAATATTTCCGCTTTGAAGCGTCAAGTCTCCATATATTTACCTTTTAGATAGGATTTGTCAGCTGACAAACACAAATTACGTTTGTTGCTAGGGGAACAGGTCTTGGCTAAGCCACTAAAATAGTGTGCTGTTTGTTCGGCCAAACTAGCACTTGGAAGTGTTATAGGATTTGCATGCGATAACGAGGATTCCGAACGCGTTTGTATATGATTTTTTTTGGGGGGACAGACGGGCTATAAACATGTATTCCCCGCGTAAATGATTAATATCATGGATGTTCGGAGTCCCTTCATTCTGCACGGAAGGGAAGATACAGTGATAAAACGATATGCAAGAAATTACCATTCACAGTTTATTGCAAGTGTTAGATTTAGGTCGTCATTCATGTAGTTCGATGAATAGCAATTCATGTCTTACAGTTGAGCCAAATTTATTGCTCCTATATAATTCAAGGACGGGCGGATTGGATCAATCAATTGAGAACATATTCTATACGTTTGAGACATATTTATCATCATCAACTTGTAGGCCTTTAGATCCATGTTCCTTCGACAAGCGCGAATCAAGCCATGCGCAAGCGAAGTGACCAAATACCCACTTTCACATATTGCCTCGTTGGGAAATCTTTATTCTGATTGGTGCACGTGCCTACAACACGTTCAACCTTCCCTTGCATTGTTGCAACATGTACAGGAGTATATAGGTAAAACGGCGCTATTACGCAACTCACCACCGGCACTCCTCAAGTTGTAGACAATGCGTAGTTTCGGTGCGCTGTGTTTGGCTGCCGCTATCCTCTCGCCAGTTTTGGCAGACGATGGTGTTAATGAAGGCCTCAAGAAAATCAAGCACATCGTCTTGTTCATGCAAGAGAATCGTGCGTTTGACCACTACTTTGGTACGATGTCAGCTGTCCGAGGTTTCAAGGATCCAAACGTTCATGTCTCAAACAATACTGGCAAGAGCGTTTTCCATCAACCGGTGAACAGCTCGATGGTGAAGGTTTCGGATGGTCCTGATGTTGATTACAAGCCACCAAAAGATGCTAAAGAGCTCCTTCCTTGGTACCTCGTCCATCAAGGTGGTGATTACAAGGAGCGTGCTCAGTGTATGCTTGCAGGCTCTAATTCGTGGCAAGCGAACCATGCAGCATGGAATGATGGAAACATCGATCGCTGGGCACTCAACAACACTCCCTATTCCTTGGGTTATTTCAAACGTGACGATATTCCTGTGCACTTCGCCCTTGCCGAGAACTTTGTCGTTTCGGACGCCTATTATGAAGGCCAAATTGCATCTACAGACCCAAACCGTGTCACATGGTTCTCAACTACGATCAATGCCAATGGTAGTGTCGTTGGTGGACACCCTGAAAAAGGTGGCACAGTGCTTGATAACAACCGCGACCCGAAGTGTTTGAAGGGCAAAAATGGTGACCTTTTCTCGTGCCGTCCGCTTCGTTGGAAGACAGTGCCCGAGTATCTGAGTGATGCCAAGATTGACTGGCAGCTGTTCCAAGATTTTGACAACTTTGGCGACAACACGCTTGTCGAGTGGCGTCAGTATCAGTTGGCTGCTAAGAACAAGACAGATCTTGCTCGCCGTGGTGTTTCGTTCCAAGGTCTCAACTCATTTTACGAAGCTGCAAAGAACGGTACCTTGCCTGAAGTCTCTTACATCGTCGGCCCTCAGTACCTCTCTGAACACGCTCCGTACACCCCTAATGATGGTGCCTGGCTCCAGCGCAAAATTGCTGAGGCTGTAATGAATGGAAAGAACTGGAACTCTACTGCCCTGATGGTTTCGTACGATGAGACGGGCGGCTGGGCCGACCATGTCATGTCTCCGCATGCTGAGCGTGGTACACCTGGTGAATGGATCCACGACCCATACACGCCAGATGGCAAGCTTGCCCCCACTGGTCCTGGCTTCCGTCTTCCGTTCTACATCATCTCGCCTTACACTCGTAAGGGTGGTGTATTTACGGAAGTAACGTCTCATGAAAGTCAGACACTCTTCCTTGAAGAGTGGGCCAAGGCGAATGGCAAGCCATTCACCGTTGACGTGATGAACAAGTGGCGTCGTGAGCAACTCAGCAACCTGGTGAATGCATTCGACTTCAACTCTTCAGACATGAGCGTTCCGGACATTCCTAAGGTGGACGAACCTACCAAGGATGCGATTACGGGCGAGTTTAATGGTGCTTGGAACTGCATCTTGAAGTTTAAGGGTGACGTCCAGCCAAAGGTGCCTTACGAAGGTCTGAAGGAGGAGAAGACACTCACGCAAGAGAAGGGTATTAAGTCTGTGAGAGGAAATGTCACCGAGGGCCGTTGGCTTAGCTTTAGCGCTCAAGGACATCGACTCGAGCACTCTAACAACAGCGTTTCTCTTGCAAGTGATAAAGGCGACTTTTCTAAGAAGCACCTCTTTGTCGTCCACTGGCAGGGCAAAGTCCCCAAGGACAATGCCTACAAGATCTCGACTTCTGGCAAGAAGCCCATGTACCTGACGGACTCTCTGAAGCTCTCTTCTAAGAAGGAGGATGGTGCCACCTTTGCCATTTTCGATAATGGCAATGGCCGGGGTCATTCGATTAAGGACGCCAAGTCGAATAAGTTCTTGTCAGTTAGCAAGCAGAATTTGACGCTTGCAAGCAAGCCTGCTACGTTCAAGGTCGTCAGTGTGACTCTATAAAGGGCGACAAATAGCCTCGTCGATGTTCTTTGATATTTTTTGCTTTTCATTTCAGAAGTTTGGTTTTTTTTTTTTTTTCGCCACTATGCTTTTTGTGATGGTTTAATTAAGGGAATATTAGTTCAAATGAATTTTGACATAACTGGATTTCATGCTGGTAGCAAGAGACTTGACGCAAAGCTAGTCGTATTGTTGGCAGAGCTGTAATAATTATTCTGTCGTAGAGCTGCGCTCTGTTTGCTCGGATATTCGCCACAACTCGTGCTTGATCGTCGGAAGGGAATCTGAGGGCGTTGCACTTTCCATTTCAACGGGCTTAGATATCAAAGCAATAGGGATCGCATCAAAGTTTTGTGAAACTCGTTGTTCCAACAATGTTTGCTTCTGATTAACTTTCGCCAACTGGTTTGCCATATTTTGTGCACACACATGTTGCACGGTTCCTTCTTCACCCGCTTCGTCAAGGAACCTGGTTTTCTCTCGTCCTCTACGCCACATGCACCACAATACAGCTATCGCCGTAACGAGAATTATAGTACCTCCTACTGTTCCTCCTACAGTAGGTGCTACAAGGTCCGGCTTCTCTTTGGTGGAAATACACACATTCTGAGGGCATGCGTAACATGCATTTGGATAAAGCTGGTGGCATTCTTCGTCTGATTGACACTGCGGGCAAGGCGCAATATTGTTACATGGCTCACAAGACTGGAAAATCAAAAGAAAGTTCAAAATTTCTTGCATGGTGAACATGAGCATACTAAGAATGAACTGAGCAACTGACTTGTAGCCATCATGATGTAGTTCACATCATGTCAAGAGGCCCATGCGTTGAAAGCTGCAGAACGATTAGCGATAGAGGTTTCGGCCGACCATTTTATCTACGAATGTGGGGCTACCTACCTCAGCAATGAAGTTTGCGAAAGTGTAGGACGTGAATGACTGACGTAAGATTCCATTATGAACGAGACGTACGTTGTTCTGGTCTATTCTCACGCAGCGCAAAGAGTAAAGATTTATCCTCGTGTAATTATTGCAGCCGATGCGACTATTCGAGGATCAGTCACAATAAAAACAGGATCAGTCATACATCCTCATTCAAAGATTGACGCCTCTCGAGGTCCAATCGTTATAGGGGAAAATTGCATCGTGGAAGAACGCGTACAGCTTGTTAGTGCCAACGAGGGGGGAATGAATATCGGTGATGCGAACTCGTTTCGCGCGGGATGCTGTGTATGTGCCGCTGAAATTGGAAATTGCAACATATTTGAGCCAGCAAGTCGAGTCTTTGCGTCCATAAGTATTCCGAACTTCTGCGTGATTGGGGCAGGATGCTCTGTGGGGTCAGATACAGGAGTACCCTATGCGCTTTCAGAACGCTCAGTCATTTATGGCCTTAATTCTGAGCACCGCGTCTGGAATGGTGATGGCGTAGGGCAACAGGCTGCCTTACATGCGAAGGAACTTGTGTACCTTCGCGACACGATACCCAAAGCTCATAAGCTCCGTATTATTCGACCGTAGTGGACTATACTTGGAATCCTTCTATAAGTGATGTTTGGTGAATGACGTTCTCAATGTATGTGCTCAAGGAATCATGCATCACGTCAGTTGTAGATGCTCTCGGTTTACGTCGCGGCATAGCTGGCTGTCGCTGGCTAACCACTTGTTGTTTACGACGCGTCCTAAAGTAAGACGCATTCAAGGGCTTCAGCGCCAAATCACTTTGTCTGACCCATGTATTCTTAGATGCATCCATTCCCCCCGAAATCCGACCAAGTAACGGTGGCTTCGCTAACATCGATGCAGCCTGTTTCGCTCGAGGATATCCGTCCAATTCAGGGGGGAAATCATATGGAATACCTAAGAAAAACGTCAATATTAAACGAGACTTACTTTTCGGATTGTTGGATGAAGGTAATTCTTCGATTTCAGGGTAGAATTCTTCCTCCGAAACGGCATCCAGGGCCTGTGTCTCATCACCTTTCTCCAAGTTGACATCCGGCCGTTCTGCATCATATAACTCTCCTAGTCGCGCCTTGATCTGCCCTGCTCGACCAATGTTATCTGCTGGTGTAATAAAGCGAGCTCCGCGTGCATCGCTAGTCATCTTATCCCACGGTGTCTTCGTTGGTGACGCTGTCAGACCATCTTTCTTGACAGAAGGGGATAAAGACTTTTGCCAAGTAGATTCACCTGTTCGGATTGTCTTAGATACAGGAGAGGGAGATTGGTTTGTCTTATCGGTAAAAACACTTCGTCCCATTCGCGAAGTTGTTGCGACGGACTTATTACTCACTGCGCCACCTCGTTTAAACGGCGAGGCAGTCGTAGGCGCCTCTTTTCCTGGCGAAGAGCCAGAATATTTCCATTTTATGCCAGGTGTTCGTGTAGGACTGCAAGCATACGTGCCATTCTCCTGCGTCATTGTGCTGCGCATATCCCCGCAGTTAGGGGCTATAGCAAGATACACGCCAACAAACCCCAGCATTGGGCTTTTTACACGCAAAGCGCAAGCGCTACGTGACGCGCCACCCTCGCATTAATCACGTGAGGTAACGCGCAACATCCGCTGTGCCGCACAGCCGTCAAGTTTCAAGCCACCAGAACGATGCCAGGAATCTATGGTGGTGATGAGATCAATGCAGTAGTGCTAGATCCTGGCGCATCCGTAATCCGAGGGGGATGGGCCGGCGAGGATCAACCACGTGCAATGCTTCCTTCATTTTACGGTTGGCTTCCCATGACAGACGAAGAACGGAACTTGTATGGCACAGAAGGCTTGAAGCAAGACCCAGGCCCGACTCAAGATGGCGATGTATCCATGAACGATGTTGAAAATCATTCTAAGCCACCTGTACCGCGTGGTATTTCTTTTGATGCTTCTCGCGGTAGGAAACGTTTTTTGGGCGATTCTGGTGTGTCATATTGGCGACGCGGGCTGGAAATCGATACTCCCTTCGACGAGAACGGTATAGTCCAGGACTTCGACTCACTGCATGCAATGTCGAGAAATGTTTTCGATGCGCTGTGTGCCGAGCCAACTGAAAATCCCCTTTTGCTCACTGAACCTGCTGATAACCCCCGTGCAGCTCGTGGGAAAGCGGCCGAACTTGCATTTGAAGGGCTTAACGTGCCCGCGTTTTATCTTGCAAATCGCACTGTGTTAAGCGCATTTTCCTCCGGCCGTCCCACTGCTTTAGTAGTGGATGTGGGCGCTTCGCGTGTCTCTGCGATTCCGGTGGTAGACGGATTTGTTTTGCGTAAGGGCATTCACACCCAGCCCAATGGTGGTGATGCTGTATCTCGCGCATTATTGTGGGGCCTCACGCACGAAATGGGTGACAAAAATATCACTGGATGGCTTGCTGACAGTATCGTCCCACAATTCCTCGTCAAAAGCAAGCAACCTTGTGATCCTGGTATGCCTGCCAAAGCCACACTTAGAGAAGATCGTTTGCATTCAACTACTCCATCCTTCCGCATGTACCACACAATGCAGGTTCTCAATGACTTTAAGGAGGCTGTGTGCCAAGTGTTGGAGGCACCTTGGGATGAGGCTCAGGCATCAGCGCGCCCCACAAAAATGTTCGAATTCCCCGACGGATCTAACGATGCATATGGAATGCTTCGATTCAAAGCACCTGAGGCTCTTTTCACACCTAGTTTGTATTCTGTCGATTCACAAGTACTGCCTTCTCGCGAGTCACCCTATACTGGTTTGACCGACCTCATCCTACAAGCAACGAAAGAAGTCGATGTCGACGCACGCGCAAGCATGTTCAGTAACATCGTCTGTGTAGGAGGTGGAACCCTTCTTCCGGGCTTTTTGGATCGTCTTAGTTACGAACTGAGTGTGGCAGCACCTAGCCAGCGAATTCGTATACACTCTCCTGGAAATTACACTGAACGTCGTCACTCAACCTGGCTCGGCGGTAGTATACTTGCAAGTTTGGGCACATTTCATCAACTATGGATCAGCAAACAAGAATACGAAGAACACGGACAAGCCATCGTGCATGTCCGTTGCAAGTAGTCATAGTATCATTCTCTTTAACTCGACACGAAGGTCTTAATAGATGGTTACCATGAGCCCTGGTCGGCGTTCTATTGTGGAGGCACATGAGTCGTGGCATTTGACCCACGCCTGTTGTTGGACGTGCCGCGTATTGTATCACTACTTTAGCCCACAGTTTAACATTCCCCTATGTCTGGTGAGCCTAAAAAAATGAGTCGTCAACAAAGGCGGCAAATGGCCAAAGACGCTCGCGAGCAGCAAAGATTAGATAGTATACGTGCTGATGTTGAACGTGAAATGGCTGAGGCACCTCAAGTAAATCAAAGTGCTGTTGAAGAGGCTGGGTTGAAGCAGCTATGTGACGAGCTTCAAGTTCAAGTGCATGAAATCACACCGGATGGGCACTGCCTATTTAATGCTGTGGCAGACCAGATGAATGTAAGATACCCTGCACAAGAGCCCTACACTTACGAAAACATGCGGCGAGCTGCTGCTAGTTTTATGCGACAACATGCTGAAGAGTTCATGCCGTTCATCTCAGATCTCGATGAATCCTCTGCTGGCATGGATGAGTCTTCTCAAAAGAAAGACCCCAAAGCCAGGTTTATGGAGTATTGTGATGCTATGGAAAACTCGTCTGCCTGGGGCGGTCAACCCGAACTTTTAGCACTGTCCAAGGTGCTCTATACTCCTATTTATGTTATTCAAGCCGGGTTACCTATTATAAAGATAGGTGAGGAAGAGTTTAAGGACCGTTCACCGCTTTGCATCGCGTATCATGTCAAGATGTATGGATTGGGCGAGGTACGTACCAGAGGGTTATTTGTCAGGCCAGATTGTGAACGCTTTTCTAACATTGTAGCATTACAACTCTCTGCGTCCGAAAGTCTAGACGTTGTGTGAACTAGATTCACTTTGAAGATGGGTCATAGTCTTGCATTCATATTCGCAGTTGACCTATTTATACCACTTGTGCATCAGGGGCACGACACTGTCATAGTCCTACTAGGGTATCGTCTTTAATCAAATGCGCCGTGCCGGACGCAGAAGTTAAAATTTGCATTTGTCAGTATGAACTCAAGACGAGGTATCTTCTTCCTCGTCCTCGTCATCTTCATCGCTCTCTTCATCTTCACCAACAAACGTGTTTTCAAACATGCCTTCACCCGAATCCAGCAGAAGATTCGCCCGACTATGTATTGCTTCAGCGCGACCATTAGATCTTTCTGTACTTTCATACACTTTTGTAATAGTCGGCGGCGTTGGCAATGAATCACGTCGGTGATGGGTTTCTTTAGACAATGGGGTACCCACTACACTTTTCCGTTGTGTGGTTTGGGATGCGGCAGTGCTGGGTGAAACATCATTTAAAGTGAGATCGCCCTCGTCTCCTCCCACAGAGCGCAGCAAATCGTGGACGACTCTTCTTGCAGCTTCTTTGGCCGGCGTTTTCTTGTATTTGCTTTGCGGCACACTGAATTGCATCGTTACAGGTGGTGACATACCATCAGGCAGAGCTAATGATGTATCACCACTCTCATCACGATAATGCTGATTCGAACGGAGTGGTGTTGTCCGTAGATCAGCAATGCCATTCCAAGACTTCGACGTGTCACCAGTCGTGAAGGGATTGGTTGTCGGTTGTCCATCCCGGCTGGCTACAACACTAATACGTGGCCGAGCTGAGGAACGCCGTCTCAATTTAGTGGGACTTGACGATTTGGGAATATCAGACAATATCACAGATGAATCTGTAGGCATTGACATGTCCGCCTCTTTAAGAGGCCTTTCTGGCGCTTTGTTCAAATCATCTTGCCGACTAGCCTCAACATCTCGTTTTAGTCGCTCAAATGGTGTATCAAGTTGCGAACTGTCATTTGAATAGGCATAAACACTTGTGCTCATGCGAGGGGGGGATGCCATTGGACCGCTCTCTTGGGTTACATGTGTAATATCATCATGCGAGCCCTTGGCTAGAACCTGATTTTCTGTAGTATCAGAGCAATTATTGATAGATCCATCTACTTCTTCGAAAGGTTGCTGGGACAGTGATACTTGTGCAGAAGCTTCAAAAAACTGCTTCCAAAACCGCGCACTCTGCCAAGTTTGAGAGCATGATGACTCGTATTCACGGATGGCAGGCAATATTCGTGAGGTGACGATTTGGTGTGCTTGAGAAAAGTTTTCATCAATTTCTTGCAGTGTCAAAGTAATAGCCTGGTCGAGTTGCATAAGTTGCTCTCCTGCAGCAATAGAGTCCAGCGATGCGGCAGCCATGCTGCTCATCACCGACTGTGATAACAAGTGATCGAGCTTGGCTTCATAGGTCGCGCTACGCGTCGTCGCGATGTCATGTACACGATTAGGTAATCTTAAGACTTTGGCACTTCGAGCTGGCCTTGACACGGCTTTTTTCGACACTTGAGCGATTGGGCCTCGACTGTTCGAACACTCAGTTGTTCCAACCTGGTCCGTGCGGTCAGCAGGCTGTGCTCGATGTCGGCCGACAATGCGTTGACTACATACTGCACCTTTGTTGGGGTCAGGAACGGCGCATGACACTTCAGTGCTGCTATGGTGTTACCAAGCAGTGGGCGAAAATCAGGAACGACGCCGCATGCACAGGTCGAGCAACATGTATTACAAGCGATTTCAGCTGGAAATGCTGCTATTGAAGAAGGGCCATTGTGGCATGATCGACTAAATGATCTTGAGGAAAGTGCGGAGGGTCAAGCATTGTTTGAGGCATACAATTATGACGAACCAGAGTATGAACAGATTCAAGACTCGATCACAGAACGACTAAAAATGCGATCAAGTTCAGGCTCATTAATAGACAGCAATAAACCTAGTTTTGAAGAAAACGAATCATCATTATATTTGGGACTACCGCCATCCCATCATTCAGCTCCAATCTTGCCAGAGCAGCTCGACCAGGAATCCTTACAATGGGCTAAAAGACAAAGGCCTCCTCAGCATGGTAAAAAAAGGCAAATTCATCTCAAATCTGGGAACTGGATACTTGATTATGCGGTGCCTTCACCAATAGCGAACGCAGTGCTCCTTGAGTACCGTGAACAAGGACAACCAAAAGAATTTACGCATTTGCGGTACTCAGCAGTGACATGTGATCCAGATGAATTTAGCGCTGAAAATGGATGGGGTTTAAGAATTTCAAATGAATACCATCGTTCTACGGAAATATTGATTGCTTTAACATACTATAATGAAGACCGCAGCTTGCTCACTCGTACGCTACACAGTATCATGCAAAATATCAGAGACATGGTCAGAAAAAAGTGGTCGCGATACTGGCAAAAATGTGAGGAAGAGGGACAACCAGGCTGGCAGCGTATTGTTGTGTCGCTCATCTTTGATGGAATTGAGCCTTGTGATAAAGAAACGCTGGACATTTTGGCCACGATCGGAGTATATCAAGATGGCATAATGAAACGTGAGGTGAATGGAAATGAGACAATTGGCCATATTTTCGAGTACACAACACAATTGTCCGTGGATCCCACCCCCGTGCTTGTTCAGCCCAGTCCAGGTTCCGACAACAACCTTGTACCTGTACAAATGATCTTTTGCTTCAAGCAGAAAAACTCCAAAAAAATCAACAGTCATCGATGGGTTTTTAATGCACTAGGGCGCCTGCTTCAGCCCGAAATTGTGGTGCTAGTTGATGTGGGCACTAAACTAGGACATTTGTCATTGTATCACTTGTGGAAAGCTTTCCACAACAATCCACAACTTGGTGGTGCATGCGGTGAAATACATGCCATGATAAAACATGGTATAAAGCTTTTCAATCCGCTCGTGGCCTCACAGAATTTTGAGTACAAAATTAGCAATATACTTGACAAACCACTCGAGTCCATGTTTGGATATGTGAGTGTGCTTCCCGGCGCTTTCAGTGCTTATCGATATCAAGCTGTGCTTGGGCGCCCCTTGGACCAATACTTTCACGGAGACCATACTTTGTCTCAGCGATATGGAACAAAAGGCATTGAGCAGATGAACATATTTCGC